TACAGGTATATCAGAGATCAGATATATATAGATATAGAAGAAACTAGATCTAAGCTTCTCTTATATCAGGGATTAGCTCTATATACAAATAAAATAATCCACAAGATCTAAGCATCTCTTGTTTGCATTAAGCCAATTGCTGATCAGTAATATCAATAGATCTGAACTCCAACCTGGCTTCGACTGCCACCTAAGCCAAGCTGCAATAAGCCCTCGTTAAATAACTTCTCAATTATTACAGGGTATTAGAAAAAATAGCATAGAATGTATTTGCCAGCGTCTGCACTTGACGGCCACATAGGCGTGGCAGCCAAAGCCATCAGGCGGCAGATGGGGGCGTAGGCTGTTGCGGAGGCGTTCATTTGTATATAAATGCGAGTAGAGGCGAAAGCCGCCAAAGAAGCGACAATGGCCAAGTGGAAGAGCACCACAGAGAGAGAGGCAGGAGAGAGAGGCGAGTGAGTGAGTTGGGGTAGAAGGTGCTGCAGGGCAGGCAATGCAATCAAATGGCGCAAAATTTACAAAAACTGCACACACATACATATAGACACGCACATGCAACACACAACTTGCAACGCACGCGAAAATCTTTGCCTGGGGGTCGCAGGCAGCTGGACAGGAGACAGCGAGCGAGAGAGCGAGCAGCAGAGAGGGTGACCACCATGTGGACTTTGGAGTAGAGTCCTGTGCCTGTGCCTGTGCCTGTGCCTCTGCCTGTGTTCCAGGACCTGTGCCTGGAGTACAGTTGCGTCTAAGCCAACTGGCTGGCAGGAGTTGCAGCCTCGATTGCTGGCCTCGGCTTTTGCGCGCGTTTCGTTTTGCCGCGTTAACTGTCCATCAATGCCGTGCCCCCAAGGGGGCGTGGAGGCGTAGTTGTGGAGTCTGCTGTGCTGCTGCTGCTGCTGCGTATGCTGTCTATTTGTTTGTCTGCTCTGGCCAGCTGAACTACCCTGCACCTTCCTGCTCATCTATGGCGCCCCTTTCAGCCATCGTTAGCGCTGCCTCCGTTTCGTACTTTTGCCTGCATTCGAACTTCGTTTTGGATTTATACCAACCACACACACATACTCCCTCACACACACACACACACACACTTCTCTCACACATGTTAAGCCCTTTTTCATTGCTGTGGCGCCCTCTGCGTACTCCTTCTACTTCTCCTCCTTCTCTCTAACAACTTCTCGCATTCGGTTTTCGTTTTATTGCGCTAGGCATTTTTGCATATTTGAGGCATCATCGCTCATCGCTTTTGTGCGCGTAAGCTAACTTTGTGCAACAGCACCCCTTGCCATACACCCTTGACCCTTACCCCTGCACCTGCCACCAGCCTCACCCCCTGGGCGGGTGTGCTTTCTAAGCTGCATTTGTTGTCTCTGCTATTTGGCGTTTTAATATGCGGCAATTTTTTTCTTCTTTGTGTTACGCTGTTGCCCCCTCGCCCACTGGCATCCAAGCAGCTGGCTTTACTTGTATACAGTTTGGTCACCTTCACACACACACGCACACATTTTATTTGTTTGTTTGCCTGTTCGTTCAGTCGTGTGTGCCGCAAGCCTCTCAAATCGAGCAGCGCCTCTTTGCCACGCCATGGCCGCCCCCCTTAGTACTGGCCCACATCTCCTGCCAGCTCGCTGTCTGTTTGCCTCTTTGCCGTCCGTTGTCGTCTTTTGCAAACCTCCATCGCAGCGCATCACATCGCATCGCATCGTATCGCATCGCAGCGGCTGTCGCCTTGTCGCACAGCCTTTCAACATGACCGCCCTCCCTGCCCCCAGCTGCCCAGTTTATATGTCCTGTCCAGCATCCGCATTCGCGTCATCGTTTTGCTCGTCAGCAGCAACAGCGGCGGTCGTCGTCAACAGTTAAATACATAAATTTTCGTATAAACGCGTTTTGTGTCTCACGAACCCCGAAAAAGCTATTTGCCACATTTCTCTACAATTGCGTACAACAATAACAACAGCAACGAGGAACAGGCAACGCATTGCATTTGCAACAAAGTGCGTGCTTTGCTGCGTTTTTAGTATGGCAACCAAATTTTTGCATTGCAACACTGCTGCACAGTGGCACGAATCGATGTAGAAGATTCTGATATAAAATGCAAGAAATTTTATTGGACTGAATGAAAGACGTGACAGATAGTGGAATGCAATTGAATGAATGACAGATTATTTAGAGTTTCTATAAATAAATAAAATAAAATACAAAATAAAACTTACAAAATACTAACATGAGTTGAATGGCATCGAAGTTTTACCTGAAATAAAAAAGAAGATTAAGGATGAAATCTTTTAATAATGCATATGATTTAGTATTTATCAAATTAATTATTATATATTAATAATTGTAATATATATACAAATTTACAAACAATATATCACAATATATATTTTATTTATAATAATAAAATATATATGTATTTTTAAAAGCAGAAAATGAGAATAATAATGACAAATTAATAAAGTTAATTTTTAAGAAAAGTAATTACATAAACATATTTATAAACATTTACAATAATTTTTATTATCGTATAAAATTTGAAGAGCTGTTCAAATATATTCAATATATATTAATATTAAAAATGTATTTAGCTGATAGAAAAATTTAAAAAAATTAATAAAAATTATTTAAATAATATTAATAATAAATAAATATATATTCATACAAAATAAAAAAAAAATAAAAAAATATAATTAATATATAAAATTTATAATAATAAATAAATATATTCATATAAGCCTTATAAAATCATTTAATGCATCACCTTTGGCAAAGCTTCTCATTCCTTATAAAATAGCACATTAAAATCAGTGAATATATCAATAAATGCCAACTTTGCTTAAAAAGAATCCCTACATAAACAACAATTAATATTAATATTAAGACGAAGCTTCCCAAAATAACTATTAAAAAATTTACAATTCAGATGTTCTCGTAAAACTAATGCAAACAGCTGCTGTGAAATATCTGCCAAAAAATCTATTTAAGAATTTATTCCCCGATCGTTAAGGATCATATATTAAGCGTATTTTTTTATTTATTTGCTGTTGCGTTATTTAGTGTTATTTATAATAATGTAGTCAACCGCCATTTGCTAGTTGCAAAAAAATTGTTTTTTTTTTTTCTTTTTGCATAATTTATGACTGGCTGGAGCTGAGCCGCAGCTGGCTGTCTCGCTTTAATACACTGCACGCTGGCAGCATCATTTGTCTCGCTCACGCAATTTAGCAATTTTGCCTGTGTGCGTTGAGCTCTTTGTATTTTTCTTTATTTTATACATTTAATGCCAAAAACAATAATCAAAATACAAGTGCAAGACTCAGATATACACACATGCATAGAGAAACACGCAACTGCTTACACACACACGTGCATATCGTTTGACCAGTCTCCAGTGACAGCCCCGCAGTGTGGGCAGTTCCAAAGGCGAGCGAGCGAGAAAAAAAGCAACAACAGACAAAGGCAGGCCAGAAGGAAAAAACGAAAAACGTCGCTCAAACTGCAGGTGCAATGCCTGCATTCGCACACCCCACCAACCCATGCGCTGCCTCTCGCTTCCACAAGCTAGACTGACTGGCTGCCTGACTTAGTGTTCGTGTCTTTGCCAAAGAGAAGTGCACAAGCAGAGCGCTCGGCAGCACATGGCGCGTCTCTTAAAAACAAAAGAGCGTCAAAAGATTGCGGCGAATTGGTGAGAGCGCAACCGAGTGCTGCAGCTCAAAATTGAGCAGAAGCAACAGAGCAGCAGCAGAGGCAGCAGAAATACAAACGGAACTAATTAATGAACAATCTTTGCTGCTGCTGGTGCTGGTGCTGCTGCTGCGACGGTGACGGCGACGGCGGCTTCTGTCAAGTTTTTTTCTTCTTAAGCTTGTCGCCGCGCCAAGAATGTGCAAGAAAGAGAGGGGTATATATATGTAAAAAGCGTTAGTTTTATGAATAAGATAATTGCTTAAATTATAATTTATATTATTTATTTAAATTATTTTTAATTAACTTTTAGCTCTTATCCATGCCATTGCTTGCAGCAAGTAGTGTGAACTGTTTGCTGCATTTACTCACGCACTTACTCACACACACACACACACATGCACCTGCACATGCACACACGCATGCTTAACTATTAGGTGCCCCCCTTCGCACGCATTGCCGAAAATGCAGCGCGTTTGTCTCATCTCTTGAGCTAACGGCACAACGGCAGTTGCCGCTGTTTTTGGGGGGTTGCGCGGCGTTGGCTGTGTGTGGGAGAGCGAACCAGCGCCGAAGTCGCTCGCGAGCGAACTTCGCCTCGTCTCGCCAAGCGCATTCGTCGTCGGCGGCGCTTCGTTTTCGTTTTGCCGAGTAAAGGAATTTTGTACGTTTGCCGGCATTTGTTTTATCGCCGCACGCCGCTCGCCGCACGCCGCTTGCCGTTTGTCGCCTGCGACGCTCTTTTGCACTATTTTCGCTGCGCTCCTTTGCCTTGAAAACTGCAACTGCAATATTTGCTGGCTGCGACGTCGACAACGCCACACTATTTACGACTTGGGGGTCTCGCGGCTGACGTCGCGACGACGACTCAGCGAATTCGCATTCGCAACTCTCGACGCGACGGCAACTACAACAACAACAGCAGCAGCAGCAGCTACTAGCAGCAGCAGCGCCTCTGCGTTTTCGTAGCCCCAATCGACGTCGTCGTCGTCTGCTGCTGCTGCTGCCTGCCTGCTGCCCGTTAAGTTTGTTTTGAGTTTTTCCGTATCAAAATGTGCAAAACGTTTTCAGTCTAATTCAGACGCTCGTGCTGAAAAGACTTTTTATTGGGGGCACGTTCCGTTGCCAAAAATAACGACGAGACGCCAAAAACGAAAAAGCCGCCACACGCACACACATACACACACATTCACACATACGAGTTGTTAATAAAACAACAACATATTTTAAGCTAATTTCAAAAATATTAAAAAAAATTTTAAATTAAAAAAAATTAATAAAAAATTTTTTCAAAATAAAATTGAAAATGCGCGTAAAATAAGACACACACACATACACACATAGACTGTCACTCACACATACACACACGTAGTCACGTGTACGTTAATTACGCGACTAAAACGCGAGCGCGATAAACAACGCGTCGTCTCGTTGCAGTGTTTGACCCACACACACACGCACACACAACACATACAGCCACATGCATTCACGCACACACATGCATACAGCTAAACAGTTACATTTCGCTTTGCCGCTCGATCAATAGACACTCTCTCTCTCTCGCTCTCAATTTTTGGAGCTTACAAAATGGCGTCAACGGAGACGCCAACGTCGCGGCCAAGCAACGATCGCAGCAACAGCAGCAGCAGCAGCAACGTCGCCACCGCTGCCGCTGCGCAAACAGACAGCGAAACGTACGCTACGGAGCAGGCGCAAGCGGCGCAGCGACAGCGCAGTGGCGGCGGCGGCAGCAATTCGCCTACATCGCAAAAGGATAAACCAAAGGCCGTTAGCCCGCCGTTAACAACACCGCCGAGCGCTAGCGGTGCCGCCGATGTCGACGTCAGCGGCGCTGCCAACGCGGGCAGCTCATCGCCCAGCTCCAGTGCGACGACGACCACGACGCCGCTACAACAACAACAGCAGCACCAGGCGCTGCCGCAGCAATTCTGTCTGCGCTGGAACAACTACCAATCCAATTTGACCACGATCTTCGATCAGCTGTTGCAAAACGAATCCTTCGTGGACGTAACGCTCGCCTGCGACGGGCGCTCGATCAAGGCACACAAAATGGTGCTCTCCGCCTGCTCGCCGTATTTCCAAACGCTGCTCGCCGAAACGCCCTGCCAGCATCCAATTGTCATAATGCGGGACGTCAGCTGGTGCGACCTCAAGGCCATCGTGGAGTTTATGTATCGCGGCGAAATCAACGTAAGTCAAGATCAAATCGGTCCGCTGCTGCGCATTGCCGAGCTGCTAAAAGTGCGCGGCCTCGCCGACGTCACTCAAATGGAAGAGGTCAATTCTGCAGTTGCGGCAGCGGCAGCGACCGCCTGCTCGTCGCCCGCTCAGCTGTCGCCCAAAACTCCGGTGGAGCGCGAGTCGAGCGAGGAGCTGCTCTCCTTTATACAGCCAGAGAAAAAGTTGCGGTCCAGCGACTGGGATTGCGGCGAGCTGCGTCTTTCGCCACAGCAGCAGCACCACCAGCAGCAGCAGCAGAGCCGCAATGTGCGCAAGCGTCGCTGGCCCTCGGCCGATGCCATATTCCAAGCGCCTGCGAGTCCATTGAGCAGTCTGATCGCCGCTGAGCGACTGGAGCAGGAGCAGAAGGAGCGAGAGAGACAGCGCGATTGTGGGCTATTGACGCCGCCGCCCAAGCAACTGGGCGCTGGCAGCGGCAGCTTAACGCCGCGTCGCTTGACGCCCGCGGCGCAAGCACTGGAAACGGCGCTGCATGGAATGGAAATGCCCTCACCTGCAACGACGCCAGCGCCAGCCGCAGTAGCAGCAGCGGCGGCGGCGGCGGCAGCAAGTCGTTGCCCACGCGCGCTGCCCAGTCCACAGCAACAGCAGCAGCAACACCTCCATCATCTACAGCAGCAACAGCAACAGCAGCAGCATCACATCTCCACTTCCGCTTCCGCTGAGTCGCGTTTTCCGCTCGGCTCTGCCGCGGCCATGGCCGCTGCCGCCATGGAGCTAAGCGTCGCTGCAGCCGAGCCGCGACTGCCACCACCACCGCCGCACCATCATAGCGGACCCTCCAGCTCTGCTTCGCTAGCGGACGATATGGAGATCAAACCCGGCATAGCGGAGATGATACGCGAGGAAGAGCGGGTAAGTGCACATAGACTCTCTTTGAACGTTCTCTTAGGCCAGTTCATTCACAAACGCGATCTGCTTAGCGCGCTCTCTCTTTAGCAGAAGCAGCAGCAGCCGCGTGTGCTTACGCTCACGTGTCAAGCATTTCGCTCTCACCGCTCTCGTGCTCTCTGTTTTGTTTTGATTTACGTTTCGCGATCTTCATTTTGTTTCGGCGACTTTTTGCCGACGGCATTTCGCCGCGTGACGTCATAATAGCCGCAGCAGCAGCAGCAACAGCTACCGTGGAATGTTGTTGTTCGCTGCGCTCATGATTGACAGCATTCACGTGCTGCACGTCGTCGCCGGCGTCGTGGCTGCTGCCGCGCTGCCTCCGCCGTCGCTGCTGCCGCCTCTGCCACAGCAACTGCCTCTGTTCATTGTTGTTGCCGGCCACGTCTTCTGCTCGCGATCGTTGAAAGCATTTTAAACATTTTTCGCCTTGTCGTAGGTTCCATGCGATGCTTCCTCCTTGTGTCCGAACATTAATTGATTGTTAAATATGAATGCGAATCTGAATATTCATTCATACGAGTTTGTGTTTGGCAATTAAGAAAATCCAGTGTTGGAAAACGCATGTTTACTATATATTATGATGCGATACAGATGCTAACAAATTTATAGGAAGTTGAATATAAATTGGCATTAAAACACTTCAGTGTTGTATTACGCTGTATGAAAGCAAGTACTCTGAAAATAGTGTTAAATAGTGTTAAAAGTTGTAATCTCTTTATAAACTAAAAATGCTGAATTAGCCTAACAGATCAAATTAAAATCTTGCTAAAATAAAATAGAGAGTTGAGTGTTGAGTAATATCTAAAACATGTATTTTATGTATTTATAAAAATTGATTGAAACTGTCCTTTTTTTTTGCTATAAATAAGCTTAAAAATATGAGTTAGATATGAAATATTTTTCAGTAGGTCTTTTCCAACCTACATTTATATTTCCAGATAAAGCTCTGTTAGTTTTTAGATAGTTAAAACCTTTTTAAACGAGTAGTTTAAAGAAGATATTTCTATCTCTATAACCGAGTCGGAGTTATGTCAGAATCGTCTTGAGTCACTTTTATAACATCACGTTGTATGTATATAGTATGTATAAATGGAATACCCTAATAAAATATGTCAAAAGTTAAATAGATATTTTCATTCTTATCCAATGAGTTAACGTATTGCATTAGAATTCCTTTTTATACTTTTACTGACATAATAAAGAACTAAAAACCTGTTCATAAATCATTTGAAATTATTTATTTTAAATGGTTTGTTATCCACTTTTTTTCTGTTTTCTCCTTCTTCTTCTTATCCCCATCAAACTTATCCAAAGAGTTTACGCGCCTGCATCAGAGTTGTCCATAAACTGGTTTTCAGATACGATCTGTTGGTGCAATCATGTCAACGGTTCTCTCTCGCTACACAGTCGACGCGCCTTGCGACTAGCGTTCCATCAACATTAAGCCGCATCGCAGAATTCGCACTTTAATAAAGAATTTTTATTTATTTATCTAATAGACGTCGACGAACCCGAAGCGTCTGCCCAACTCTCACACTGATTTGAGCATTCACATTCGATTTGTGCTCGCTGGAATGCGATATTTGTTTGTCTCTGCACGCGGATCTCCCTTTGGGCTGGGACAGATCACAGCCATGACCAGAGTTGCCAGCCATTCGTTCGTTCGTTCGCTTGTTCTTGTTTATTGTCGCTTTCGAGTGCATTAATCAAATAAACCAAAGGCTGGCTCGATCGCTTCACTCGCTTCTCGAGCGCATTAGCATGCTCATATGTTCGAATTCGAAATCGTTTGTTTATCTCATTTAATATTTTGATACCCTGCAGCTTATGAATATGGGAGTGTAGGGTATATTGAAGCTGAGGCAATGATTGTGGCAGGCTAATTGGAGGATACTATAAGGTGGACCGTGAGAAAGAGCAATTGAAGGCTCGATAAGTTTCGATTTTTTATGAACTAAATTTGTGAATTTATATGTATAAATCAGATCCGGAAATATAAATAATAGTATATAGATTTTTAGTTACTGATATAGTCTTCTCAGGCATAGTAAAGAGCATTACTATTAATGCTGATGCCCCTGGAAAATTTATAACAAAATTTAAAATTTTTTAACAAATTAAAAACTTGAGTACATCTACTGTTATATTATATTTTTAGGTATATTATAATTTTATTCTTATAGAAATTTATTTAAAAAGTATTCCAAAGTCTGAGCTAAAAGTCTCTATAAATAAATATTTTATAGAGCATCTGCAAGTCGTTCAAATTCGGACTATTCAGTTTGTCTATCTGTCTGCGTTCCCGTTTGCTTGTTAGCGTATCTCTTTCTCTCTCTCTCTCTCTCTTTGGCTTACCCTCTCTTCCACTCTATGCCTCTCTCACGCTCTCTCTCGTGTATTTCTTCAATAAATATTTTGTTTTTATGCATTTTTAAATATTTTTTTTAACGCTGACCGCGGGCTTTGATTTTGTTCGTTGCTGTTGTTGTTATTTGTATTTTTATGTGCTTAGAAATTCTTTGGAAATGCATCGGCAGCAACAACAACAACAACAACAACAACAGCTACATCTGCATCTGCATCTGCATCTTTTGTTTTGTTTGCCTTGGTATTAGTGCTGGCCATGTTTATGCTTTCCTGCTGTTTGCCTAACCAATTCTTATGCCACTTGTTGTTGTTGTTGTTGTTGTTCCTCGTGCGTTTATTTACACATTTCATTTATTAAAAATCGCTGCCACGTCCCCTACCCCTTCACCTGCTTCAACACCCCGCTGATCTGTCGGAAAATGCTCATATATAACTAATAAGAACGTTGCACTCGAGCTGCATCGACTGCATAATACCCGCTTCATTTATTACCTAATATTTTTGCATTTTCCAAGCATAATATAATGTAAAGAACCAGCTGCAGAACAGATCAACGCTGATTCATCTTGGAAGCTAGATAAATCTTGCTCTAGAGCTGTGGAAGATATATATCAAGATAACACTTCATTGCTATATAAATATATATCAAATTTAAAAAAAAGGAAATCTTCACCTTATAGGTTATTAGACAACCAATATACCCGCTTTGCACTGCCCGAAGCAAGTATAAAAATCAAATATTGACAGGCGGCATCCGCTTCTATAGTTGCCTCTCTATATGCAAAATAATCAATTCCCATATGCAGCTCGTCTTAAATACTTTTAATACGTTTCGTTTTTTTCCCATTTATTTACAAGCTGTTGTTTCTCCTTGTGGCATGCCACACACATAAGCAGCTAAAGCCGATAAGTGTCAGCCTTTGTCTCCCGATCGGTCGATCTTTCTGCTTCGCTTTCCGTTGATTAATTGCACTTTTATAATATTTCTCATTTTCTTGGCCTTTTGTTGAAAATCAACTTTGTTTTTTTTTATATTTTCTTTTATTTATTTTGTTTTCGGCTTCTTCATCGTCTTCTTCTGGTTCATATTTTATTGCTGCTGCTGCGACTGCTGCTGCATTTTATGCGTGCATCATTAGAGGTAATATTTTATTTTTATTATTCTCTCAGGTTCAGTGAACTCCAGTCGAGCAGATCTCAGCTATATATATATATATATATATATTTATATATATATATATGTAGTTGTAGGTGATGCGGGTTAATTAATCTTTAATTGAATTATGTTGAGATAGCAAATAAGATTAAGAGTAAGAGTGCTTTTATTGGGAGTGCACAACTTCTAGATACCTTCCTTACTTTATTCATAATATTGCCTATAGCTGTGGGCATATTGGAGGGTTTTGAAGAGAGGTGTTCTTTATAATTGTGAATAATTTATGGAAAAACTAAATAGTAAATTTGTTGAATGTCGCTCTTAAAACGCGTTTGATGTGCTTGAATAACTTAAGTTTTATGTAAAATTTTATAGATTTGATGGAAATTGATAGACATCGATATTTATCGATGGTTTGTAACAAACTTGAGAGTAACTGTGTAAAATTGCAGTCTCTGATTCTTCTAGATATATGACACGCATGTCGGCCGTTGACTCTACAACTCTACAAGGGATTATTAGAAAAAATTGCAAAAATTAATTATACCCTGTTTATTCATTAGCACAGAATACTTAAATGAAATTTTTCACATAAATTTATATAGTCATATATCTATATTTTTATTAATTTATCACTAAAACAACTTCAAAATAATTGTAAAATGCTTAACAAAATTATGCCTTAAAATAGAGTGGAAGAAATGAATTAATAAAATGCTGCCTTTCAATAATTTACAAAAAGTATCTGTTAAGCACTTTCGTTTTCGACCTTAGCCATTATCGAAAGTCAAAAAAAGAAGAAAAGACAGATAAGTATATGAAGCTCTGGGCAATTGGTTAGCTGTCGAATTACACTACCAAACTACCAACGAAAAAAAAATATATTACGCACGCATATCCTTAAACTCAGTTGGAGTTGCTGAATATAATAAGCGAGTTGTAGCTGACAAAAAAACTTGTGTAGACAAATTACCTCAGAGAGGAGGGGGAGCATCCAACAACAACAAGCAAACGTGCCACATTCAAGCTACTTCATACACACACACACACGCAGAGGAAGGTGTAGGAAAAAAAAACAGGCAGGCAGCAATCAAAAAGGCAACAACCAGAGCAAAAGCAGCAGCAGCAGCCGGCAACAAAATGTGTGGCATGCATAAAAATTGAAAAAGATGCAACTCACAAAAAACGAAAGAAAAATGAGAAGAAGGTGCATTTGAATTGTGTGTGTGCGTGTGTGACTGTATCTGTATCTGTGTAGGTGCGCAAAGGAAGCCAACAAGCCACTTAACCCAATCGACAAAAGTCATTACACTCGTCACTCTCGGCAGAGCCAAGCGACCCTGCCATCCCCTAGCCTACCTTTGCCCCGAGTCTGTGGCACAAACGGACGACGCTTCCGCTGGGCGTCGACGTCGACTGCGCCTGATCTTTTGCCTGT